AAAACCGGGAACGAAAGGAGAGGAGGAGTAAAGAGAACGGGAACGTCTCGGACTGAGTCTCTCAGTGGCCAGAGCTTGCGCATACTTGCGGGTAAGAATTGTCACATGGCACCATTGCACCACGGGAAAATCCAAAAGGAATCAGAGACGCGCCTTTTACAAGCAGCCACCCAAACACACACCCCAGCGTGGCTGGAGAGGGAGCAGGGACAGGGCAACAAAGGGGACAAACATGAAGAGATGGTTTCTCATCCAATGAGAGCTGTATTGTAGAGAGAGAAATTCTCTATAAACCCCTCACTGGTGTGTCGGCAAAAACACTTGGGCACTTCTAGACCCCCTGCTACTAATTCTAACACTTGCAGACACTCTTTAAATAGCTTAACACCTGCATGAAGGTAAGGGTTAATATTTGGACCTGCAAAGCCTATTGTCATACACACAGACACAGACACACACACGCAGACATGGGAGTAATGTCTTGGGCGGTATCTCTTAAAACCTCATAATCTGCTGGTCATTATTGTCCTGGTAAAATATGTCTGGAAACATTGTATGTAAAGTTATAAGATTCCACTGTATGGTGTTATTAACACATGTTCCAAGTCTGGGGAGTGGTCAAACCACTTCCTCAGAGATAAAGGGCAAGCCCACACCTCAGCCAGGTGTAAACAAGACCAATGGGCCATTACCTGCTAAGTGGCTATTCATTGTCAGGAAAAGGGACATGAGTGAAAAAATCTACATCTTAGCAAAGAAACATCATGGAGTTCCCATCCACACAGTCTGCCTGTTGCCAGGCTCCCAGCTGGAGATGCTTCTCAAAGAGGGGAGAGGACTATACAAAGAAAGGGGAGACACCCAAAACACCCCTTCCTCCTCTCTCTCTCTGCCCATTGATTCATTGCCTCAGAAGGCGCAAAGGGAGCAGCCATTCAGCTGGGGATGGGGTCCTGGCCTGAGACGTGTGGCCACTAAGAGTCTGTTGAGAGCCGGAGATGAGAAAACTTTGTTTTACATTTAATATAGTTATTGAGTTAGGCACTAACTGTGTTTCATCTTTATTTTTCTTGTAACTATTTCTCATTTTTGTGCCTCATTACTTATACTCCCTTCAGATCTCTCTCTTTGTAGTTAATAAACTTGTATCTACTCTAGTGTGTTTGAACTGAAGTGTTTGGGAACCTCCATTTAAGGTAATAAGTTGTATGCATATCATCAAATAAAATGACGGACTTTACAGAAGCTTGTATTGTCCAGGAGAGGGCTGGGCAGTGCAGGACATACATTCCTGGGGGGAAATCAGGGACAGGGAGTGTGTTGGGGTTACCCTGCAGTATAATTCAGGCTGGTAAGAGCCTAAGTGTGGCTGGCTGGCTGCAGCACACACAGAGACACAACTGGGAGTGACCTACATGCCGGAGGCTGTTTGTGAGCAATCTAGGTTGGAGGCTACAGCAGCAAGGCATTGTACAGGGCACCCCAGGTTGAGGGCAGGGGTGCCACAGCTACTCAGTAGTCTGGATTGTATCCTGGACATGTCACAGATGTATGGATGATAAGTGCTATATTAGTGCTACAGGATTCTCAGTATTCTTCAGCGTATCCCAGCCTTAGCAGTCATGTTTTCTGCTCTTCTTCACCTGTCTCCCACCAAAGGGGAGAGGCTGTTTCTGCTCAGGCAAGAGCAGCAGGTAAATACTGTTTCCGGCTGCCCATCTCAGTCCTTAGAACTGCCTTGGCCATGCTGCAGTAAGTGTAAAGGATTCTGGGTGTCTTTGAGAGCTAAATGGGCCCCCCATGCAACGGTGCCGGAAGCAGGGCCCTCATCCGGAGGAAGGTTGAGGCAGAGCCGGGAGGGGTGGTGGGACGAAGGGAGCTGGCAGAGGCTGACTCTCCTTGTTGCCTAGGTGCCCTGCACCAGGGGCCATTTTAGGCCGCACGTTATCAGGGGCTTCACTGAGCCTCCCTTGCAATCCACCCCCGTCCTGTCAGGGCCATAGACCTGCAGTAGCTGCGCTTTGCTGCCATCTACTGGGCAGTGATGTGTCCGTGCTCTGTGGGGCTCCCTCGCCCGTTTCGCAGAGGCCCAGAAAGCCTGGTGGACAAGCCTGTCCGGGTCCCATCTTTTCCATGGGGCGCAGACTTCACTCTTTGTGGTGCAGGAGAACGGACGGTGTTTCCCGGGAACCCTGCCGCCGAGGACGGCTGCCTCAGCTTTTCAGCGACAAGACAACAATTGGAAACCAAGAGACCCGTGAGCAGTGACCGGGTCTGAACTCACAGGGTATTTCAGTGCTAAGGGTGTGTCTTCCGCATGAGGAGCGGTGAGGGGAGCAGGAGCCAACGCCCCCTGTGTAAGAAGCAGGCTGGTGCTCAGAGCAGGTGTAGCCTTGCCGCAGGGCTGCAGTGGAGTGAGAAGGTTTTTGTCTCACTTCCCCATAGGACGGTAGTGCTGTGCAAGCACTCCCAGTCCACGTAACACAGTAATAGATGGCGTCGTCCTCTGCCTGGGCCCCAGTGATGGTTAAATAGCCAATCTTGTTGGAGCCAGAGCGAGAGCCAGCGAACCGGCTGGGGACCCCCGAGCCCATGCCTTTGTTAGATTCAGTGAAAAAATACAGCAGGTATCTCGGGACGCTGCCCGGTTTCTGCTGAATCCAAACGACACGGTTGGCACTGACGGTGTAACTGCCCTCTAGCGTGCAGGGGAGCTGGACAGTCCCCCCGGGAGACACGAACTCGGAGGGCGGCTGAGTCACCTGAGCGTAGCAACCTGCGGAAAGCAAAGAGCAGGGGGGTGAGCACCGCTATTACTGCCATCTTTTCAGCTGACCTCAGTTTCAAGGCACGGTCGGACGTCAGTCTGCTATAGCCGTTACCTGTCAGGAAAAGCCCCAGGAGACAGAGAGGCAGAGTGGGCTGAGCCATGGTGCAGGGAGATGGGGAGAGGTCACAGGAGCTGGGTTTCTGCTGGTTTACAGCCTGTTCCCTGCCTTTGTGAAACCGTGGGGCAGCTTTTAGAGCCCTTATGGGCAGGGGTAGGGCAGCCACGTATGCAAATGAGCCCTCCAGGGTCAAACTGGGGCAGCCCACTATGCAAATGAGACTCAGGGGGTGGAGCTCAGACATCACGTTCTTTTCATGATCCAGACTCCCTCAGTTCTCAGACCTGCCGCCCCGGGTCAAACCAACGTTCCAGCCACTCCAGTGTCCTCTGAGCGTGTGGGTGTGGGGCACTCAGCAGGATAAGTATCTGGGTGCATCTCACTTAACTATTTCCCTCCTACTGGTGCACCTCCGTCCCTCCTGTTCTCTGCCTGCAGCACAGACTAGTCTAGTCTCCCGACGGCTGGAATACTTTGGTCTATTTTGGTTGTTGGGTTCCGTGTGCGGGTGCTGGGTGGGGATTAGTGGCCTGTGATGTTCAAGAAGTCAGCCTAGATGATCTGATGGTCCCTTCTGGACCTTCTGAATCTAAGTGAGAGCGAATGACAATGACAAGGGTAGACAACAGAAGGCACCTTGTAGAGAAGGGTCATAGATTCCAAGGCCAGAAGGGACCATTGTGACCATTAGTCTGGTCTCCTGTAGCACTCAGGCCATAGAACTTCCCCACAATAATTCCTAGAGCAGAGCTTTTAGCAAAACATCCCTGACAGAGACTCCACCACGATACTGGGTAAATTGTTCCAGTGGTTAATTACTCTCACCTTAAAAATATACACCTGTTTTCCAATCTGAATTTGTCTAGCTTCAGCTTCCAGCCAATGGATCTTGTTGTACTTTTGCTAGATTGAAGAGCCCATTATTAAATATTTGTTCCCCATGTACGTTGTTATAGACTGTAATCAAGTCACCCCTTAACTTTCTCTTTTTGGTAAGCTAAATCGATTGAGCTGCTCGAGTCTATCGCTGTGAGGCATGTTTTCTGATCCGTTAATCATTCTCATTGCTGAACCCTCTCCAATTTATCAACAGCCTTCTTGAATTGTGGGCACCAGAGCTGGACACAGTATTCCAGCAGGGCCAAATACAGAGGTGAAATAACTGCTCTACTCCAATGCAAGATTTCCCTGTTTTTGCATCCCAGGATTGCATTAGCTTTTTTGGCCACAGCAATACACTGGGATCTTATGTTCAGTTGATTATCCATCACAAATCCCAACTCTTTTTCACCCAGGTGAATGTGGCACTTTGTTTACCCTCTCTCATAATACAAGGGCAAGGGGGCATTTAATGAAACTGAAAGGGAACAAACTTAGAACCAATAAAGGGAAACATTTATTTTCCACAATGCATCATTCACCCATGGAACTCATTGCCACAAGATACTCCTGAGGTCAAGAGCTTAGTAGGATTAAAAAAATGATGGGACATTCAAATGGGTAGTGAGATTGTCCACAGTTACATTAGACAGCAACAAATGTAGAAGGGGTATAAACCCTCATGCTTTGGGGCATAAGCCTTGGCTAGGAAGAAACTTCCCCTCTGGGCAAGATATTTGAGAAACATCCATTATGAGGTTTCTTGCACTTTACTCTGAAGCACCCAGGCTAGGCCAGCATCAGAGGCAAGCTACTGAACATAGGTGGACCATTGGTCTGATCTGGTCTGGCAGTTCCTCTGTCCCTAATATATACAACTGTGACCCTAAGAACCCCTCAGTGCCAACTTGCTGTGTTGCGAGATGCTGTTGGCTTCTGGCAGCCGAGCGACAGCCGGCACAGACAAGATCACTTCAAACTAAGGGCAGGTAGTGGTGAGGTGCCTCACAACCCCAGATGCCCCTGGGGAGCGTCACAATAACCAGGCAGTCTTATATTAAGATAGCATCATCAGTAAAAGAGCACTAACTCTGTGTTGTGTCTGGACAGATGGCAGCGACGCATCCAGCTGCAGTTTTGAAAAAATAACAATTGGGAGAGGTTAAAGAGAGTATGTTCCAAGTGTCCCAGTGAACTCCACACTGCACAGGATACAAGTCATGCAGCTAATTATTAGCATTTATTGTTTGTATTGCAAAATCTCACAAAAGCTTCAACCAGGATCCAGCCCCCATCACGCTGGGTGTTCTGCATAGCAAGTTACACGCAAGGGAGAAGCGTCACATCATCAGGACATTGCTGGACATGCCCTAAGGGCAGGACACAGCTAGATAACACTGACAGCTGAGTCACCCTCCGCGGATGTCCCATACACCAAACCCCCCAGTGTACAATGCTAGAGTGAAGAATGTATTACAGCAAAGTAAGGCCCAAAAAGCACAGGCAGAGATCTGAAAATCGGGCCCTGGGGTTGTCAAAACAGGCTCATTTTGGCCCCAAACCCGCACTCACTTAAACAATGGCAAAACTTTCCTCTCCTGAGCAGCCCTGTTGCTGCTAATTCTGGGTTTCATTGATCCAATAAAAGGGGCCTCTGGGTGGGCTGTTTTTCTCTGGTCTGGGACTTGGGAATACATTGAATGGAATGGCCCGTGCTCAGCAATTGTGGTGGTGCTCAGAGTTAGCTAATCACCCATTCCCTGGTACACCCCAGAGAGAGCGGCTGTGCCCAAAGATTGGCAGGCAGGTCTGCTGAGGGCCCCAGAGCCAGGCCGACTGTGATGGAATGTTATCATTCCTGTTTATTATTTACCCAGCACCAGAGTGTGCAGGGCACTCGCTCCCCCTGCCCAGCCACGCTAACAATCTGTCTGAATGTCTCAGCTGCTGCGTTGGCCATGGCTCATCAAGCTCTTCGTTCTTCCCTCAGGGTCCTGTGTGTCTGAGCTAAGGCCTTGTGGTTGTACCCCCGCACGATGTGCATGCTGATGGCTGATGGCCACGGTTTCATGGTGACGTGCTGCCACCTTCTTAGGGAAAAGCTCCCACCAAATTCTCTCTCTCTCAGCCCCATGGGCTAATGGCCTTGCAGAGAGCCGGGATGAGAAACCAGGAATCTATTTGTCTTCCCATTTAAACAAAAACACTTCCTCAGAACCTCAGAACTGAGAAAGAAGGCATCAGCAGCTGGCAAACACTTATGCTGAGTGTAAATCAGAGAAGCCCTGAGGCTGCTCTAACTTACACCGGGCACTGGACAGGGCCCTGAATACAGGAAGTGCACAGGTAGTTTAAAGGGACTGCCTCTCTTCACCCCCAGCAGCACCCTTTGTTCCTGTCCCAAGCTCAGAAGCAGAGTAACTAAGAACCCAGCCCGCTGTATGTAGGAAAGGCACATAACATACTCCTGAACATCAGAACAAGTGCTTTAGAAATCTGTCTTTGATGTCAAGCTGTACTGGGTGCCCCACATGCAGCTGATGGGGATCTCAGCAGATGGACGGGGCCTGCGGGCGGGAAAGACCAGCTCTGTTCAGTAGGGTCTCTGTGCAGTGGGAGCTGCAGGTGCCTAGCACCTGGCAGGATCTGGCCCTGCGTGTCTCGTAGCATTCTGAGCTCCACCAGGTGACATCCGTCAGACAGGAAGCCACCATCCGTCACAGCTCTCTGAGCATAACCGACCAGGGGGCCTCAGCTCTAGGTTAATTCAAGGGTGGAGAACGTGAGCCGTTTCTTTTTCCGTTCCTTATGGGGCTGCGGTTCCTTCAGCACGAGGCTCTGCAAGCAGGGGCTCATCAGAGTTCCCCGGGGGCCAGCACAGGTTTTGGTTCCACATTTCTAGAGATAGTAGATGGGATATGCGACCGAGCAGTAATAGTCAGCGTGGTCCTCAGCCTGGACCGCGGCAATGGTCAGAACGCAGGCGTTACTGGCGGGGTCTTTGGACGCAGAGAAGCGGTCCGGAATCCCGCAGGGCTTGTGCTTGTCCACCTCCGAGTTGTAATAGAGCAGGTACCTCGGAGGGCTGCCAGGTCTCTGCTGGTACCAGGCGACCCCGAACTCCCTGATGTTGTACCCAGGATTCAGGGCACACGAGAGTTTCACCGTTTGTCCCGGCAACGCTAAAATGGAGGCCGGCTGAGTCAGCACCGGCTGTGCCCTGGAAGCTGAATGAAACAAGGGCGCAGTTACGGACGGAATGTGCCGATCCCACCCCCAGTGGCTGAACTGTTACGTTATCCCCTCTGGCATTGCCTCCGCACCAGCTACAGGTTAACCTCCAGCAGCCCGCCTGACCACGCCTGCCTGCTCCGCCCATCCCTGTCTGCAGAGCAGCGATAGCTCAGCCCAGGAGCCTCGCCCTTCAGTCCCTCCCTCTGCAGAACTCGCCTCCACCTCCCACGAGAACGTACCTGGCACCAAAACCCCTGGGAGGAGGAGAGCCAGGAGGCGCAGCATCATTGCGAAGGCCTTGGAGGGAGCCAGAGGGAAAGGAATCGGCAGCTGCTGTGCAGCAGGGCCTCTGGCTTTCTGCAAACCTGCAGCAGCTTTAGAGCCCTGGGGCGCCAGACAAGCCAAGTGGGTCTATGCAAATGAGCCCTGGGGCTCAGGGACTCCATCAGCTGTTCAGGTGTCTATCTGCTGCTCTCTGTGCTATTCAGCCACAAGGCCGACACGATGAGGATGAAGCTTCAGTCACCGCTGGGAAGAACGGATTCAGGGCTAACACCTCCGCTGTATTTTGGGCTATGGCATTTGCTGCGGAATCTGGCCTCCTCCTCTTGTCTGCCCCGCTCACACCTGCAGGTGCCGTGCGTATGAGACACGGAGCCGGGTTCTATTCCAGCTCTGGCCACAGACCTTCCGTGTGCCTCTTGGTCACTCACCTCCTCTCTCTGGGTCTCCGTTTCCCCACTTATAAAGCAGGGATAATAAAACCCACCTCCCCCACAAGAGCTGGGAGGCTGAACTCATCCATATTTGAGAAATGCTCAGATGGAAAGTGCTACGGGAGGAGAATCTAAGACCAGGCTCCTTTCTGGGCAGAGCAAGCTGCTTTCCTCCAGAGAACTGGAGATCCATCCAGAGCCAGCCCCTGCGCGAGGTGTCAAAGCGCAGGAGCCTTTCCCCAGGCTGCTGTCTAATCACAGACACTAACCACAGAAGGAACCCGGGGCTGTTCCTGAGACTAAATCACTGTGACAAGAGCTACTGCTGCTCGGCCGTGGAACACAGGGGCAACCTGCCCCGCCTTCTGCCTGGATGCCAGCGCTGGAGCAGCCCTGCGGCAAGTGTGTGTGGGAACAGAGGGTCGGTCGAGGAACCTGGCCTCTCTGCTGTGGCTGCTGCTGTAACAATGGCAGCACATAAATATACCTAGGGGCACCCCCCAGGCCTCCACTGAATCCCTCTGGCTGTGCTGGAGACAGTGACGTGGAGAGTGTCTGCGGGATCTGGAACGTGAGGAGAAAAGGGGATGCTGACATCACACATGATGAGACACATCCCCAGGCACATCATGCCCCAGAGGGGAAATCCTGTGTCCTACGTGGTATAGGCCCAGAGAGAGACACCACAGCGACATTCTGCAGCAGTCAAAGGCCAAAGCCCCACCGCTCCAATGGGCTTTAGAGTGACATGGGCGATCATTAGGCAAATTAGCTCCAGGCCCGTCAGACGTTATTGGACAGGTCAATCAATACGGGAATGCTCACTATGGTAATTCAGAGGATTGCCCTGTAGCTTCATGCAATGATTTAAAGACCACATCTCAAGTATCAGTGATGCACTCTCTGTACTTGCAGGGTAAGGACCTGGATAGAAATTACTGGGCTTGCAAATCTTTTAAACGAAGGCCTCAGCAGAGGGCATTCCGACCTGCCAGGGATCTGGATGTAGAGGGGAAGAAGGTTTGAGGGCCTGGCTTGGCCGGACCAAAGAAGCTTAACTGGGGATGAGTAGACCAGGGAGTGTGGGAGAAGGTTCTGATGGATATTCGTGGGGAGAGTATGTTCTCGAGGGAAGAACAGAGGGAGGAGGGATTTTCACAGGTCTGGAGGTTCGGATAAGCACCCACATTTAAAATGGAATCATCCAGCATTTTGGCGTGTGTCTCATCACTACTGCCAGGAGATGCTGGTCTAGGTCTCTTATGCCATACCGTTTGGCACAGTCAGGAGTCTCCTCAGGAGACCCCAAGACTGAAACAGCAGCAGGTGCCGTAGGTCAGGATCGGGGTGCGTTGGGGCAGTTGTGTGTAGGACGTGTGTGCAGGACCTGCCCGTGTGGGGGGCACGTGGAAACAATCAATGAGCAATAATGCCGGGGGTCAGTGAAGACCATAAATGGGTCCCGGCTGGAAGGGAGGCTCAGCTCCATTTGCTGATATGATTGAATCGAATTCCCCTCTTGACATCAAACGAACGTCGGTGAGTCAGTGGCGGCTCTGGAGATCGCAGCGCTGGGACGCCCACGAAGGGCATCACTGGGGAAGGGAATGGAGGAATTTCCAAGCCTGCAACAGTGATTCGGAGACAGAAAAGAGAGAGGAAAATGTACAGGATGGTGAAATGGGATGAGACGAGGAGAGATGCCATTGCTGGTCATGGCTGAGGGGCTGAGCACTGTCCTTCAGGTGTGTACTATGAAGCTTCTAAGGGGTTCCCACACTGGTTCTCTATGGGACTATAGCACTGTGCACTTTGTGGGTATCGTTCCAAATTGAACAATAATAATTGCCTCATCCTCGGGCTGCATCCGTGAAATGTTTAAATACCCTTCATCGAGGCTGTGATTTTTGGAGCCCGAGAATCTCTCTGGAACTCCCTCTCCTCTCTTTAAACCACTTTTTGCACAATACTGCAGAATGAAACTGGGGGCACTGCCAGATTTTTGCTGGTTCCAGATGACACAAAAATCCTTGAACTTGACCCCACTCATGACACATTTCAGAGTGACTGATTCCCTGGATGCGATAGACACCATGGGCTCCTGAGTCAGGACACGCTGGGACTCTACGTCTGCAGGAAGCAAAGACAGTGCTATGGAGGCTGCTAGTGGGCAAGCAATGTTGTCAACTGGGCTTGCAATAGTCATCTAACCAAAGCGTTCTCCAATTTACTGCATCAGCCCCTTAATCTGGTGTAGACCCAAGTGGCATAACTTTACTAAAACTCCATACAGATGGGAGGCAGAGCTGGCTCTGCCCACTGGGAGATGCAGAGAAAGTAAACCCTTCTTTGCTTTCAAGGGTTTCCTCTGCAAGGTTATAGAAAACTCCTGGCATCACTAGGTTAGCAAGACTCAAAGAAATATACCAAGAACTTACGTGCTAAAGAAAGCACCAGGAGTCCCAGGGCCACAGGAAGCTGGGGAAGCATGACAGTCCTCCACCAAAGGATTCAAATGAACGAGAGCAGTGCAAAGTCCTTCTGTGTGTCTTTGGCTCTGCTACTGACCACATGAGCTTTGCTGGGGCATTTAAAGCAGCCCCACAGCAGGAGAGGGTCAGGCAAATCTGCCACTCCCTTGGGAGAATTTACGTGGGGAATTGGTTTTCACCACTGCACCAGAATTGGACCCGAAACCCTCACATACAAACAGAGGGGGCCTGAAGAGATCAGCTGGAGTGGAAGCCCAGCAGCAGCGACTGGTGTCAATAAGCCCTCGCAGGAGGCTGCAATGCCCCAAGCAGTGCTGATATACCTGATCTGGATGCACTGTATTGTATTGTACACTCCGAGTGCCGCAAGGGATTAATAAGGCCAGGAGCTCAGCAGGATTCAGGGTTTAGCCATGTATAAAAGAACATGAGCGATAACTTGTTGTCAATGTACTATGCCTTTAAGTGAATACTAGTCTATGCGCGCAAAGAATTACACCTATAACTGGAGACTGTAGAGCATGGTCTCATGCCCTGCGCCCATCCCCTGACCCCTGTACGTAAACTGCCAGGCCAGGCCAGACTGATGGTTCATCTAGTCTGGTGCCTTGTCTTTAGCAGGGGCCAGGACCAGATGCTGAAGAGGAAGGCGTAAAACCTCCAGAATCGGTAATTATGCAGCATTCCAAGCAGCTGCTTGACCGTGATGTCGCCCTGGGATCAGACAGCGCCTAATGAGAGGGAATAACAATGATTGCTGCTTCATCTAGGGTGACCAGATAGCAAGTATGAAAAATCAGGACAGAGTGTGGGGGGTAATAGGCACCTAGATAAGAAAAGCCCCAAATATCAGGACTGTCCCTATCAAGTCGGGACATCTGGTCACCCTAGCTTCATCAGAGCAGTAAGGGTGAAAATCCCACTTGGCGGGCCCCACTCAATCAGTGCCAAGGGGTTAAATGGTTTGCATTCAGTTTGAAACGCTCGGCATGTGTGTTCACACCGTGCCCTGCACAAGGGGGCTCTGGTCCCGACTGGGTCCTCTGGGCACGAATGCAATCCATCCTCACCGTCTCCCATCTCTGAATGCAGCGGCGTTGGGGGCGCAGCAGCATGACGCCAGGTGTTGAAATGTGCTGCCCTCTAGTGGGGCCTGGGCGCTATAGCAGTGCCTGTGTGTAAGCCTTGCTGCGTGAGTGTCCAGTTTATAATTCCAGTGCTCCCCTGGTAACAGGAAATGAGCAATCGCCCTAGGGACACACTCGGCCCCTGTGCAGTATGTGATCATTCCGCCTCCTCTGGCTTCTCTCACGCCAATAGGCTGGAAGGGATTTTGCAGATTTAAGGCCAGGCAGCCACACAGACAAACACAAACTGGGCTAACCCGCCTGGATGACGCCTTTAACACCCTGAGGGCAGACATGCCAAACCCGTGGAGAAAACGCAGAAATTGGGCTTGTTTTTCGCTTAACTGGCTCGTGCGTTGCTTGTTGGCTAGTTTTTCCTTGTTTGGCTTGCAGCTTGTTGCTTCTTTTTTTTTCTTAATCTTAGGGATTGGCTTGTTTTGGCCTTGTTTTGAAATGGGATTAGCTTGATTTTTGGCTTATTGTGAAAGTCGGAGTGCTTATTTACCACGGGAAAGTTGGCAACTATGCTTGAGGGCCAGACAGTGTTAATTACTCTCCGTCCCCTGGTCCTGGCCGCACCACACCTGAGGAGTCTGGGGGGGGACTGTGCCTCCTCCTTCCAGAACTCTTTCCCTGGTGCACAGGGGGACTATGCAATCTGCACCCTCCCTTAGCAAGTGTAGCCTGCTCCCCCCAGCAGGCCTGCCAGCTCTGCAGGCGGGTGCTGACAGGGATTGGGGGTGCATGGAGGAAGCAGTCCCTGTGCTCCCTGAGCCCACGGGCTAATATTGGCCCGCCCTTTGCCGGGGGTGGCAATGCTCTCACCAGTCACCCACACAAAAGCAAGGCACAGTCTGGCCCAGAACATTCCACCTGAAGGGAACCTCCACCAACCCCCACAGAGCATCCAGCCCCCGGGCAGGCCTGCAGCCCCCAAGCTGCATCCAGCCTGTACAGAGCACGCAGTCCACAGTGACCAGTCAAGCCGCACACAGCGTTTGGCCCAGATGGAGTCTGACT